ATTACAGATTCCTTGAAGCTTCCATAAAAGTCTTAATAAAACTCCTAATAAAACGACTTAAAAAACCATTAAAAAAAAAACACTAAATTGTTATTTTTTTTAGGGCATTAATAACCTGGCCAGGCTGAGTGGTTACCCTGAAGCTCGCAAAATGGCTGGACCCGGGACCAAAGTGCCCTTTTAGATCCCATTACCACTGCAGGCATCTAGAGATGGTTGGGTGGCTATAGTTGCTAGCATACACACACACACACACACACACACACACACACTGGTATATAGAATGACATGTGGTGGCTGTGGAGTGTGGATGCGGTGACCTCCAAGGTGGACCAAAAGCCAGGAGGAGAGACAGCATCCCGGATCCAGGAGCTAGGAGCTAGGAGCCAGGAGCTAGCAGCCAGCAGGGCGAACTTCACTTAATGTCAACTTAATTGCATTGTTTCAGCCACAAATTACAAAACGAGTTTTGCACAAGGCAGCAAACATGTCGTCACTGGCTCCAGTTTCCATCTCCTCCTGCTTCTGGCCCCTTCTCTGGTTACTCCTACTCCTACTCCTACTATTCACTGTTTTACCTATTCCAGCACTGAGAGAAATTCAAAGTGAATGATGATGAAAAGTTGCCTTTGATAATGGTATTCACATTGATTTGAATTTCCAGAAAAATGACTAAGAAAGACAATTTTCGGATGGAAAGTTTCGAAAAAAGGATTAAAATTATCTTTCAACACTTTCCCCGCAGTGCATCTGCAACAATGGCAGCAGCCTGGGTGTGTGTCTGTCTGTGGGTGGTGGCCCGGTTGCCAGCACCTGTAAAAAGAATCAATTGTGTGTGACCAAATTAAGTTCACTGACTCACACACACACACACACACACACAGAAACGCTCCTCGGAGGAGAAGGAGGTGGCGGAATAGGAAGGAAGGATGGGGGCACGCTGCCATTGTCAAGTGGAAGCCAAATGGGGATTCATTTGAATAGAGTGGCGGCCAGTGCGGGTTGGTTATGGGAGCAAGGAGGAGGGACTGCAGCAGGGTCGTTTTGCCAGAACTCACCTTACCACCTCACCCAAAAAAGCAAAAAAAGAGGAGACTGTGCCGTGTAAATGGAGAATGTAACCAAATTGAAAACAGAACAGAGCATCACTTTGAATGCACTCCCCCCAAGGGAGGGATGAAGCGATGCAGTGATGGTAGCTGCTGGGTGAGTCGGGGATTGGGACCACACTCCTGGTTCATCCATTATCAGACCTGGTCAGAAGCGTCCGACAGGCAAACGCTAATTGAGGCAGCACTTTAAACCGCTTTCGATCTCAAACGACTTGACTCTTGATCTCTGAGAAAAGGCAAAATGAGATGCAGTTAAAGGCTTTGCGGTATATAGTTTCCTATTCTGTATTATATTTCCAATTTCTTTAAGGTTTTCCCCGAGACTAACTAACTTTTTGAACTAAATTACTTTAGCCTAATTATTTTAGCTTGGAATTCGTGGGCCTTTCTTCAACGAAGGGGGGCAGCTCTTTGACCAGATTTGAAGTCCACATTCTCGGGGGCCTTGAATTCTTGGTCTCGAAAGGATCCTAAAGAGGATGTGGGGGGCAAACTGGCTGCTCTGCTTAACAAGGTGAGGGTGGCAGGTGGTTGAAAGGAGGTGATGACTTCGGGTGGTTGGGCGTCTGTGGGCCAGCAGCATTCTGGCATCTCTGTGCCTTAGAAAAGTTGAGGTCGTGTGCATATGACAAAAGCATCTGCCTTTTGTTTGGTTGGCGCGCCCTTGGCTTTTCCTACCCCCCACCACCCCTTACCTCCTTCTCCTCCCTACCCTTTCTCCCTTGTGAGCTGCTGAAGCATTCAAATAATTAAACTCATCAAGCTGGCTTCTTCTTGGCCTCCGCTCCGTTTAGTCTAATCTTCTTTGTTTTCTTTTTATTACAACAGGCCGGAGTCCTAGGAGCGCTTTTCCTCCTCTTTTCACCGCATCCGGAAAATACACACTAGCACATAGACACACACATGCCATGCCATGCCATGCCCATAGACTGAGCACGCATAATCCTTGATCTTTTGTTAGTTGTTTGCTCAACTTCTGGGTTTTCCCCCTCCTGTTTGTTCGAGGACTAACAACCCAACCAACCAACCACCCACCCATTCTTCTCCTCTAAATTATTAATTAAAGTATTTAACAAATATGCTAAAGTTTGCCATGGCTCATGAGTCTTCTGTCGCATGCCCCACCGCATTCACATTCTCATCCTAATCCTGGACACGCCCAGGAGTTCATTTCTTCCGAGTTAATAATGTGGCCAGCAGCACACTCGGTGGGTGTGGGTGTGTGCGTGTGTGTTCGTGTGCGTATGCGTGTGTTGACATTGCATCTTTTTGATGTCCCGCTGCCGCATCAAAGGCGACTTCACAAAATAGTTGACATTTTGCTCCTTTTGTCCCCGCTTGCCAGCGAATTCCTTGGCTTTGAAATGCCATTCGCCGGCCGAAAAGATCGTTGCTGTGAAATACCTCAACGCCCATTTACACACACTCACACAACACACACACACACACACACACACTCATACAATTAAGAAGACTTCCTTTGACAGCGTAATAGAAAAATGAAATAAAACAATAGCCTTACTGGCATTTTTTTTTGTTTTTTTCATCTGAATTCGTCTTTGTAGGCGAACGATTGAAAGGAAAATATTTGATATATTCAATTTACCTTCCTTGATTTATTTCACTTCACAAAGAAAATGAAAACAAAACACAAATATTTCATATTTGCATTGCAAACTTTGCATATGAGTTGAGTTGTCTTGAAGCCGACGAAGCTCTTTTCTTATTTTCTTTCTTTTCCCTGCCTTTTTCCTTCCTTTTTTCCTTCCCTTTTTAATAATAATAATAAAAAAAATCTATAACAAATAGTTGGCAAATAACCAATGAATTTTATCACAACATTCTTGTTATTGTTCTTGCTCTTGTTGGATTTATAAATGAAAGGTTTTTCCAATTAAGATGGTGAAAATGGCTTATTGTGAGTAATACAAGTTTATTGTTAACTCAGCTTTCAGCTTGAAACAATAAATGATTTTTCTTTTAAAAGGGTTTTCCATTGCCAGGGAAGCGCGGTTTGTGAAAGAATCTTAACTTATAGATAGAAAAATATCTGAGGAAATCCCACATGCCACATACCCAAGCTGACTACTTCCAATGCCAATGCCAATGACAATGGCAAGGTTCAAGGCGGAACCTTGATGATGCCTCATTAGAGCACCAAAACCCTTCAGATTTATGGTATAAAGAACCCATGCAGAAGCACAGTTCCGTTGCCAGAAACAAAGTACTCACTCACCTGCATGTGTCACATGCAGCAGGGTCATAGATGCCATGCAATTATGCCAGGCGGCAGTTTATTCCAAACGAATGGATGCATCTGACGGGTAATATATTCTCAAAATTTCTCTTTGCTTTGATTCTAAACAACCTACAGCTTTGTATATCTAAAATTTACTTTTTTATAATTTGCAGTTTTACATTTATAGCTGCCAAATATCTAACCATTTCCCCAAGTGATTTATAAGCTACGTTAACTGCTGTTTCTGTTACCCTTTCTCCTAAGCTATGTATGACCTTAAATCCCTTAATATTCGGTAAATAATAATCAAATTTCCCAGTTTTAGCTAGCTCGTAGTACGACAACCTGCCACTGTTTCTAGTATTCCTTTTTCCCATATTAACATTCCGTATCGAAACTGTTGTGGGACTTTGACTTTTGGCACTTCTTAGGTGTACCCTTTTCCCCTAATTTTCCTTTCCTTCTTTTTTTCTGGGTGTCAGGTCTAGGCTAGAAAACAGCTCTTGAGGCAGAGGTGCATACTGATGATCCAGCAGATGATGATGATGATGATGATGATGATGATGACTACAATGATGATGGAGGGTGCCACCAGCAAGTCTGTAATTGAAATGCAGAAAATGGAGAGCAGCCTCGACCCGGCTAAGGTGAGTGCCCCGCCCCACTCTCTTGTCCTCTATCCATACGGCTTTCTCGTTTCTGGGGATAAATAATGCAGCAGCAGCCCCGAGGAGTGATGAAGGGATGAGATGGATGTTGAGGTGGTTGGCGGAGGGGTTGCCAGGAAGTGGATGCTTTCTTCATCTGTCTCGGCCTGAGCCGCTGTTGACACATAGTTTGTAGTTGGTAAACAGGCAACAACACACAACTGCTCAACGAGCACCTGAAGATGCTTTGTATAAATTTGAATATTTAACTGCAGCAGTAGCAGCAGCAGCAGCAGAGCAGTGGCAGCTGTAGATTCAGATGCAGATGCAACAACACCAATGCACTGCCACTGCCAGTAGCAGTTACACAGGCCGAGAAAACCAACCAACCAGGCAACCAACCAACCTACCCCAGAAGTAGCAACATTTCACTCAAATCCAGTGCAGCTGGCTGGCTCCGGCATCGTGGGTATATGGCCAAATCTTTTGCCAAATGCCGGGGTGACATCTCTTACCTTACACCCACCCGCCATCTTCTTCATCTCCCTCCGCCAGTTTCTCAAAACTCATTTGGCATGCATGTGTGTCAACGCTCTGGCCAAGACGGCAGCAACAACATCCCAACATCCCAACAGCAACACCAACTGAGATGATTATTATGTATGCATTTCGGGGGCTTAACTTCCTTGGATGGCTCTCGATGGATGGTTCGACTGTCGTTCACCCACTGCTATGCAGCGATCACGATTCCAGGGTATTTAAACAGTATGATGAGCGGGTAATAGTTATTAGTTTCCTTATTTATCCTTAGTTCAAGCTTCTTTAACTTTTTCCAAAATCATAAATAAATTATAAGTAATAATCCACTCCTTGATGAGAACTCCTCCAACGCCAACACGCCTTTCCATTTTCCATACTTACTAAGTTTTCAACGTTTTTCTTACAAAAATTTTCCATGGAAAGATTATGTGTCGTAGGTAATGAAAAACACCGGGTTATAGCTTCACATTTAGTTTTCATATTCATTTATTTATTTTTAATTAATTCATTAGTTTTTATTTATTCTTAGACCCTTGATATCCTCAGAAGTTGTGTTGTGTGTGTGGTTTTTTTTCCTCTTTTCTTTTTTGTTTTGGTTTATTTTTATCGGTTTTTTTCTTCGTTTTTGTTTTTCCTTTCCATTTATATATTCTCATATATAATATAGTTCAACTTAATACGCTTAAAATATTCTCGTTTCGCGTTGAAATCATTACATATATGGTATATCATTATCATTATTGCAATAATTATCGTAATTATTTGTATTTTATGTCATTTTATTTTACTGTTCTGCTGTGGTAATGGTAATGGTAATATAATGCCATATATAATTGTTCATTTACCGATAGATATATATATATATATATGCATATGCCTAGGGGGGTTGTCTAGGTGATGAATTGTGTGTTGTTGTAGTTGTGTTTTGAGTTCTGTTTATCGTTTTTATCGTTTATCGCTTGTCGTTTATCGCTATTTGCATTTTGCAATTGGCTATTTGACAATACGGGGGGTGGTGTGCGGAAGTGTGTGTGTGTGTTCTCCACTAAGCTTACACAGACAAAAAAAAAAACGTTTTTTTGGGATGTTTCTCGATTTACGTTTAGGTTTAGGTTTAGTTTTTTTAGTTTGAATTTGCCCTACAATATTCCTTAGGTTCGCTTGGTTTTTGCCTCGGTTTATTTACTATTTGTGAATTACATAGTTCGATATACTACAGATTCCGCTCTTCTCAGCTATTTTGTCTAATAAATATAATTTGTTCATTTTTGTTTCGTTTTCATCTGCTTTTTTGTTAATGTTTATAATAAGTTGTTTGCTTGACTTTTCTGGTTCGCGTCTTCGCTGATGCGGCAGCTGCTGCTGCTGCTGCTGCCTTTTTGGTTGGTTTTTGTTTATATTATTTTTATTCTTGTTTTCGTTTATTATATCTCATAAATTCTTGTTGTTGCTAAATTTTGTTGTTTGCTTTGCTGTTGAGTGTGTGTGTGTGTGTGTATCTGGATTACTGTCAGTGTATAGATGTGAATGTATCTGGTATCAGTGTGTGTTTGTGTGTGTGTTCTTTTCTAGTTTTTTGTTGTTGTTTAGCTTTTTGTTGTTGATTTCTTGTTCTTGTGGTGTGTGCAAAACGTTTAAATGTTAATTTATCTCAATTGTTTCCCTGTTTCTTTATTTGCTAAGTATTCTCCACTTCTCCTCTCCCATCTACTTACTCCTTTCCGCCCTTCGACTTTAGCATTAGTTTAGGTTTAAGTTTAGGTTTAGTTGTAAGTTACTCCTTCGGTTTAAGTTGAAGTTCGTGTAGCTCTCTAACATAAATATCCTAAAATACTTGGTTTTTCTTTTTTCGTTTTTCGTTTTTCTTTTTCTTTCTGTTATTTACACATAAATATTTGTTGCTGCTTCTTTTGTTTTCATAATTCATAATCCATAATTCATAATTTATACTTTTTAGTTTATTTTTTATTTTCGGTTTCTCCGTTCATTCCCTCTCTCAAGCCATTCTCAATAGTTCGCTCTAATCCGTAATATTAATTTTAGTGTGCCATTTGTTTATCATTTTTTTTGTTTGCTTTTGAAGCAATTTCCTTTTGTTTTTTGGTTTTTGTTTTTTTGTTTTTGTTTTGTTGTTTTTGTTTTGTTGCTTGTTTTATGCTTTTTATGCTTGCCAAATTCTAATAGGTAACTGACTCCTGCTCTTTTTCGAATTGTTTTGGTTTGCCAATCAACGAAACGGAAATGGAAACGAATCGAAAACCAGATGGGAGAAATTCGAGCGGCTAGGCTAGTACAGTGGTACCCCGCCGCACACGTATAACTAACATTTAGACTCCTATACATATTACATACCATATATATATATATATTAATATATATACTATATATATATATTTGCCATTTATCCGATAGTTTGTCTCGTTTATTTTACATCTAATTAGGCGCGACAACGATGGAGAAAAAAAAGCCAAAAAAAATTTGTTCACACTTTGGCGCATGAACTTCTATTATTTTGTATTTTTATTTATATTTTTATATATATATTATATATAACTAGAGATTACGATGCACGGTGCCATATACGATATAACACTAGTTTACCTTGATTAGCCTTAATATATATACACAGATACTCCGGCAAATATCGGAGCAGATTCCGAATTTGTTTCCTTATTTTTTGTTCTTTTTTTTTTTTGATATAACGCTATCGCACGCACGCGGACTCCCTCTCCCTTTCTATCTCTGTCTCTGTTGAGCGGACATTTGTCCGGATACGTTCCTTGTTTTGCCCTCCTCCTTTACCGTATCCCCCCTGTCCGCTCTCGCTCTTCCTTATACGGACATATACTTGCTCTGCTCTAAGCTGCTTTCTACTTGGCTGGCTGGCTGGCTTCCTTATTTATCATCCAACTCTGATCGTTCGGTTTTGGCCTCGTTTTCTGGTCTGGTTTTCGAGTTGGTAATTTATTTTGTTTTTGTTTTTTATAAAATTTCGTTTTCTTGCTCGTTTGCGCAACTAATTCAGCAATCTTTTGGTTTTCCTCCTTTTCTACGGGGTTTTTTCTTTTCATTTTCATGTTCTTTGTAATAGCAATTCTTGGCTTAGTTTCTAAGGAGGCAAGGAAACGATCAAAACACACACACACGCACGCACGCGATTATTAGGCAACTATAACTACACATATATAGTTGTTGTGGCAATAAATTCGATAAGCACCAATTCATGGAAAACAAGTGAAAAAAAATTCGAGCTGCTGCTGCTGTGTGTGGCTTCTTCTTTGGGGCATCTCTCTCTTTCTCAAGCGAAGCAAAATGCGAAAATCATTCGATCGAATTCTACTTTAATTGGCATCTAATTTATAATTTATACTTTCCGTTTCATCCCCCGCAATCTCAATCAAATTGGACGGAAGGCTCAACGATCTCGATCAGGGTTCCAAAGCTGAAATCATATTATACATCTAGTGTCTCCTGTTTCCTGTTGTTTTGTGTTTTTTTTTTATTTTCATTTTTTTAATACTGTTTTTAAGCTTTATTTAGTTCGATTCCTTTTGCTGGTTGTGAGTTTATTTTGGGCCGCATTGAGCTGAGCTGAGTTCGGAAAAGCAGACTTACAAATAATAACAAAACATTTCACATTCCACGCAATAATAGCATTAATATTTATAATTAAAATTAGTTCGATATTTTCTTCCTTTCTTTTTTGTTGTTTTCTTTCTCCTCTTTCTCCTCTTTTTTTGGATTGTGGATGTGTTTGCCCTTGCCTCGGCCATATATATATATATATGTATGTTTATCTTTATATATATATATATATATGAACAATAATAATGAATAAATTAGTTAATTAAGTAGGACGAAACTTAAACTTATCTATCAGGACATTACGGCTATAGGTCTCTCTCTATAAATATGTGTGTGTGTGTCTGTCTTCTATATTAAATTTATATCCATTTATATGTTTATTTAAAAAAAAAAACACTTTGCCTAGCAGCTAAATTTTGTTGTTCGATTTCTATAAATACTTTTTTGTTCTTTTTTTTATTTTCTTATATTTTCTGTTTAGTTTTTGAAAAGCTGACACTGTGCAAAGCAAATGAGAGAAAGCTTTCGCTAAGCAAAAATCTCCCACAACCCAAAAACCGGTTGTAGTCTAGTGTAGGTCCGTCGGTCTGTGTGTGTGTGTGTGCCTATGTTTGTGTGTGAATGCGTTTTGGTCTGGGCTGTCCCTCTAAAATGTCCACTTCCCCTTCCGTTTCCGGTGACGCCACCCCATCACTCCTCTTGCTCCTCCCTTACCTATGTACATTGGATGACTGGAGTTTAAGGAGGAAGATCCAAGGGATCAGCTCCTCCTCTGAAGGTCCGTCGGTTGTCAGTCGCCAGTCGCCAGTCGCCGTTTCATTTGTTTTTGTTTAAAACTATGCCAGTCTCAAAAAGCTCGAGTACCACGAAAAAAAAAACGATACGCCCTTTTCTTTAATATATATATATTATATAATATATATCCCCGCCCCGCCCTGACCTGCCCTGCCCTGCCCTGCCCCCTGCTAATATTCCATTCTACGCCCCCTTATTGTGGTGAGTATGCATGTACATATGTCTTGTATGTATGGTACGCTCTATGCTCGTATGACTACTACACTATGCTATCCATTATCTTTATGTGTGTGTATATATCTATATATATATATATCTGTATATCTATAACTGCGTCTATATATCCGTGGCTGTATTCTGTAAATGTATCTGCGGCTTAGCTGACTTCACACACACACACGTATACACAAACACACACAAACACACACACATATTAACGTACATGCACAGCTACATGGGATTACGTTGGCCTTGTCGCTTCCTTAAATTTCTTTACTTTTTCTCTAATGGCTAACAATAAAAAAAAATATTTATGTATACGTGTTTATATATATATATATATATATGTATGTATATATATATATAATGTTCCGATAACTATATATATATATATAAATTGGGTTTTATATATATATATATATATTACGTCTCCTGTTCTTCGGTTTTAGTGGCTGGTTTTCAGGGGTTTATTACCCCCCTTTAGAGCTCTTAAGAGCTAACAGTCGACTTGATCCTCCTCCTGGAGAGGATCGGTGGATCGACGGCGTCTCCTTCGGGTATTGGGTACTCCCGCCGCACCACCAGTGGCGCCCTTTTTCTTTACGAACTTTATATTATAGGGATCCTCCGCCAGTTCCGGATAGAGGTTAACATCGTGGATGTACTCGCCCTCGTAGTTATTGGCATAGCTCTGCTTGAGAATCTCCTCGGTCTCCTGTTGGCTCCACTCAAGTGCCGTTGTCAGGCCACTTCGCAGTGCCTCCTTCTCGCGATGCCACGCCTTTCGCACCGCCGTCAGCTTGGCGTGATGCATCAGTCGCTGCTGTTCCTTGGCCACGGTTGTGCCGTAGCGCAGATTGATGATGGCATGTGCTCCATGAATCTTCACATCCAGATAGTTACCCGTATTCGAGGATGAGCCACTACTGGACGAGGAAGATGAGGATGACGACGACGATGATGAGGAACCAGAACCACCATTTGTTGATCCCGATGAACCACCGCCACTACCAACTGTCGCCTCTCGTGTGATCTCATGGAAGGTGGTGTTCACCTGACCCTGCAGACGTTTCAGCTGCTGGCGATCCTCCGTTGCCCGCCAAGCGTCCTCCTTCACAAAGAAGAACGAGTCCTGCTGGGCATTGTGCACCACAAAGGTGAAGGGCAGCAGCTTGGAGCGATTGAATACGCTGGTGTAGACATCCCGGTAAATGGCATTCGCAGCCGGCACACTGGACACTATGGCCTGTCCGTCGGCGGTGCGGGAGACGACGATGCCCTTGCCAAATGGTGGCTCCGTATCCGATCCTATTGTCTTCGGTGACGGATCCATAACATCGCATTTAAGGGCCGAACGTGGTGGTGCCGACAGCTGTTCAAAGTCCGACATCCGGCGGACATTAAGGTGAGCCAGGAAGCCACTTTCCACCGCCATGGTGGGTATATTGTCGAAGGGTCTGCGCAGATTCAGGGCCACCGGATTGGCCGGTGGTCGTCCCCACAATGCTGGTGGTTGCCACAGATCGCGAGCCAACTGGGGCACCAGATTGCCCACGTTATAGCCCAGGGTTCTCATCCAGGCGGCAAAGTCCTCGGGATAGTGTCGTTCGTGACCCACATTGATGGGATCGTTGCCGTTGAAGCGATACAAATGCAGTCTTGTCGGTGTGATAATCCTTTCGGCTACTCTCTGCCAATCCGGCGACATCCATTGGCCAATCAATGGATCGTATACCCGACCATCTCCCATGTGCACCAGCGTTGTAACCTGATCGAGAATGCCACCACAGAAATCAATGGGCAGATATAGATATGGATTCGAATCGTAGACGATGTGACCGAAGGGTGAACGCATTATTTCCCGAATTCCCTCGCCATACTGATTAAACAGCATCAGGGGAGTACCACTCTGGTCCGTGGCCACGTAGTATTTGTGCCTATAGACCTGGGCATAGATCAGATGACCCACATCGTCGTAGGTCAGTGACATTAACTTTCCATCCCTCGGCGAATAGATCTGGCTGACCTCATAGGGTCGCTGCTGATTCGTGTAGAAGAACTGCGTCACATTGCCAAAGTTATCCTTTCTGGTGGTCAGACGCTTCAGATGGTCATAGTAGTAACGGACATCGAATCGACCCCGCTTCGAGGCCCTCACAAGCAGACCCTGGGTATTATAATGGAATCGCTCCTCCCTAGCATTCTGGGCCACCAATCCTCTAGCATCGTACTTGTACTGCCCTTCACCGAATTTAACAATCCTGTCCTGGGCATTGTACTCCATGGGTATCGTATTGCCTCTGTATGTGAGTGACAGCAGATTGCCATTGTCGTCGTACCGGAATCCCCAAGGTTCCTGGGCCTCCACGCCCACCAACTGTCCATCGCAGTCCCAGGTGTAGTTCTTCACGTTGGTATAGCTATTCACTGCCATATTGCGGGTATAGGTCCGTGTCTGTGAGATCCTGCCATGCACTCCATAGGAGAACTCCATACGGAACACCTCCAATCGATGGATAGCCAAGGCCATTCGCTGTGTCTGGAAACGACCATCCACGGTTCTCGTAAAGCTTGCCGTTCCATCGTGCAATTGGGTTTGATTCTGTACTGGTTGCGAGAATCGGAATTGACCTATCAAGCTGGGCCTTCCTGTCCGCGGATCATAGGCAAAGGCCTGCGTTGGCAAACTCTGTCCCCCAATCCTGCCCTGCAGGGCCACTACTCTCAACTGCGAATCGTACTCATAGCTGAACTTGGCATTGCTCAGACCCGTCTTGGCCACATAATCGATTCTCTCCTCGGCCAGCAATCCGGCGGCATATTCAAAGTCCCATCGGTACTCCAACTCTCGTTCCGTGTGCGAAACTGTGCTCGGCATTCCGGTGGCCTCGTTGTACTGGAACTCACTCCGGCCATCACCATGGACCACCTCCGTCAGCTGACCAGCTGCATTGTAGCGATAAACAATCCTGGCACCATCTCCTGGCAGAATCGTCTGGAGCAGGGCTCCCGCGTGACTGTAGTGCTGTAGATAGGCTCTCGTACTGCCGGGTGGAGTGTAAGTACACCGGATAAATCCAATCGAGGTCTGCATGCTGAAGCTATGACGAGTGCCCGAAGGAAGGACCACATGCCTTAGGCCACCAGCATCGTCGTACTGCAGCACAAACTTTCGTTGACTGGCCAAACCGATTTCGGAGACCAGATTCCAATCGTTGTACACGAAAGACACTATGCCATCCTGCTGCGAGGTGATCTCCGAGAGCAGTCCATGTCGATCGTAGCTATACTTCAGCTCAGCTGGTCCCCAGGCCCATCCTTCAACTCGATTGAATCGATCGTAGGTGATGTTGACTGGATAGCCATTGGTGGGATAGTAGGATTTGGGCAAACCGGATTGATCGTAGGCCACTATCAGGATAGGGGTACGTCGGGCATCATAGAAGGTCTCTCGGTTAGTGAACTGATCGAATTCCACACCAATAACCCTCGACTGGTTCACCCAGATCTCGCGATTCAGTGTCTGCTGTGGGTTCCTCACGTCACCGACCAAACTGTAGACCGAGTACATTGAATTGGTTAATCCCTCACCCATCGTCACACTCTGATGTGACCACATGGCCAGCATTTCCGCTTCCACGGGCAGAGCAGCCTCCAGCAGTGGATGCCTGGCAACGGCTGAGGCCTCCACAACGACACCGTTATCACCATGGATAACCAATGTATTGTTAGCCTTAAGTTCCGCATCCGCATGGGCTTGTCCTCGTTTCAGGAAAGTGGATCGTACTCCACCCAAAACCAAAAGCTCATTCGCCTCGCCAGCAATTCGTTCTCTCGAGAATAGCGACTCCACAGAGGCATGTACATAGACGGTGAGTCCCTGGCTATCTGCCAGCTGGGATGTGATCCTTACAATCTCACCACTGGGCAGGATCATTCCGGTAACTCGTCCAAACTCATCGTACTGATAGATATACGTCTCACCACCCGACGATCGGGAATTCAGCAAACCAGTGTTACTATCATAGTCCAACTCGATCTCCTGGCGACCCTTTTCGCTCAGCTTGGTCATTATGCCAATGCCATTGATCTGGATCTCCGATTTGTGATCCTGGGTGTTCTCAATGGAACTCACCACATTGCTGTAGTCGCGCAGGAACTGGATCTTATTGCCGGAGGCATCGGTCACAGTGGACAGGCGGCCAAAGCTCGTATTCTTCGAGTACAGGAAGCTATAACGAGTCTTACCCGAGGTCAGATCTTTGGTGGCCACATGCTGGCCATATCGATTGAACACGTAAATCTCACTGGAAGGCGGGAAGGGAATGTGGAACTCCCCGTTTTCATCGTGCGATGGAAGATAGTGTTCCAAGGCCAAAACGTGTAGGGTTCCTAGAAAGAAATATGAAACAAGAATTTAATTTATAAGCAATGGAAAGAAGAGAAAAGGCTTTTCTTCATAAACTATGTTATCTAGCCTTACTAAGCCTTTTTTGATGGCCCGCCTAAAAGTAAACTTTAATATCTCGCGAATTAATTAGGAAGAAGAAAGAGTTCTCCCTTTTGATAGTTTCTGCAAAACCAAGTTAATTTTTAATGGGGAAACACACTTGGCCAAGAAGTAAAAGGCAACTTTTTTACACCCCAATAGGGTAACAGCATACAAGCGCAGCTTATCAACTTTATTTACTACCTAATGGGTGGCTGTCGCTGGAAAAGCGGGGAAAAGCTGTTTTTTGTGTTCTTTTTTCTCATTTTGGCAAGCATCTGCTTGGCATTTGAGTACCTTTTGGAGCATCGTAAAAAAAAGAAAAAGAAGAACGGAGAAGAGGAAAAAGTCGCACACTCGTTGTCCTTGGCAGATAATTGACTCATTTATTCATTCCCAGCTCCTTGGACAATTCCTTTTAACTGGTCATCAAATTTATTCGCACTTCCTTAACGGTCCATCTTTATTTCCACCTCCCCCCGCCCACCAAACATTCACAGCTCGCTGCTGCTCCTTCGGTTTTGTTGATCATTTGCTTAAGCTAAACGCCAAGTTCCTGCAGCTGTTTGTTTTTACTGTTCTGCATTTTCCAGAGACCCAGCACAGAGACGAAAGCCCTCTGCATTTTCCACCTCCCCACTACTACCACCGCACTACCATCTATCTAACTACAGCCCCGTTTTAAGTTTTGAATCACTGCAAATGCACAAATACAAAATGGTGTAGGTAAGTTCCATCTGTGAGCGAGTGTCTTAAGTATTTTTGTGCAATTTGCTAGAGCTCCTCCTTATGCCTCATGCCTCCTGCCCCCTTCTTGGCCACGGCAACGGCCACCCTCCTTCCTTTTGCCTTGTTGCCCCCCACCCCCTGTGAAGCGTCGTTTCATTTTAGTTAGTGTTGAAAATCGCTTTGGATTTGCATAAATTTGCTTGCCTTCCGCCCCTATCTCCACCCCCTATCATCCATCCCCCATGTTTTATTTCAACACTTCTCAACCCCCCATTTTTCCAACGGCTTTGCATTTGCAAACAGACAACAACAAAAGACGATGATGACAGCGTTTTGTATAAGAAACTAAGTGAAGAAAGGCGGTAGGAGAGGGTGGGGGGGGTAGGGCTTTGGAACACATTAACTTTACATCATTGCGCTCAACTACATTCATCTTCAAAATGCCACAAAACTTGGCCACTCCGATGCCCTAAGAAGTATGCTATAAAAGTAAAACTTAAAGATGTTTCCTTCTAGAAATTTCAAGTTTGCAATTTTCATATTTAAAGCTAAACTTGTAACATGGCAAGGAATAACTAGTACTACTATTTATTAAACATCTACAAAAGATCAAAAAAGTCTTTTCTAGAAGTGGAAAAACTACCTCTTAGTCCCCTCCTGTACCCACAATCATAAACCTTCATTCATTTCCACCCACAATTATTGCCTGCAACAACTCACAAAAATCCACCGCTGATTGGGAATTATGTGCCAGTTTGCTATTTGCACATATCACAATAAAAATATTAAATACATTGTGGGTTATTCTTATGGCGTTTGCGGGCAGTGTTGATTTGATTGCGTTACAGTTCATTTACCCGAATCCGAGGACCAAAAACCAGAACAGAACCAGACCAGAAAGGAGGAGGAGAAGGATGGATCCTCCAGGAGACACATGACCGACCGACCGACCAACCACCCCATCCACAAAATTCCACAAAATCCACCCATCTGTGACCCTCTGTAGTTGGAGCGTAAGCCATTATGGTCTCATTTTAGAGGAGCTTTTTGGTTTCGGGTTTTGCGATGCTTGTACAGTGAACAAAATTTCGAAACTTAATGGGATAAAGAAAACTTGTAACTTGACTATACCCCCCTACAGCTACATTTATCCTATTAATAATTCCCATTTGAATTTCCAAACTTAATGCTTATATATTTTTCCCGCAGTGTAGGCGCGCTTGGTTTCCCAAACTGAAGCTGGGGCATTGGCATTCGAATTGGCAAAGCGCCAGGCCAGCGATTGAGCGAATTTCAATGCAATAAATGTGTGACGCTCAGCTGGAGGTTACCACCCACCCACCTTCAACCCTCCACCCCTTCGGTATATGTACATACATGTGTGTGTGTGTGTGTGTAAGGGTGTGCGGGTGAGCTTGCTGTAATGTAATGGTAATGACCCCATAAACTGAACAACTTGTTTGTGCCCAGTGCAAAGGGTTGTTGCCATTGTGTCGCCGAATGTTTGCTGCTCCACCAGCCCCAGCCTCAGTCCATGGTCCTGGTCCTGGTCCTTAAACCATCCTCTCAGTGGGCTTGCTACACACACCCACACATACATCGATATATCTCGGGGTGTCCTGCAATTGTCCTGAGCGTTAAACAGTCGTCATGGCCAGCTGGCATATGTCCAAATCGCTGGCGAAATTGATATCGATGGGGTTTGAGGATGTTCACCTCCCCCGTCCTGTTTGATATCGCGATTTGTCAATAAAGGAAGGTTCCAGAGGAAAGGTCTAGACAAATTATAACTAATGGGTGGTGCTTTATGAAGGGTTTTTAAAAAGGTTTTTCCTTAAGTTTCGTCATAAGGCCTTCTTAATTTGCCAGCTCATTAAGTTACCTTTATTTTTCCTTAAGATTTTCTACTTATACTGCATTAGTTCTTTCTCATTTATCCTGTCACTCTTCGATTTCATTGATATATATCTTTTCTCTTTTCTTCCATGCTATTTTTAGCTTGAATTTTCCTTTTCTTTTCGGTGGCATTGGCAATTAATGCAATAATTTTTCACACATTCGCCGAGGAAAAAAGCCACTTAAGGTTGCCGAGCGCTGCTAATGAAGCTTATTTTGCGTTTCCTTGGCCGGCCAGCCAGCCAGCCAGCAACATTTGTATGTGTCTTGTCTGCTCACACGAATATAGAAACACCCACACATATATAATATGTATATATATATATAGATCCCTGATTAATGTTGTGAATGGAGTTGGGGCGGTTTCCCCCTTCTTTTTTTTGGGAGGGGGGCTAGGTTGGTGATGGAAAAGTTTTGCCAATTCAATGCCGCGCGCGTAGGTAATAAGATTGATTTTCACTTTTTCGCTTTTCACACTCACACAGCAATCACTCACACGTGTGCACAGCGCCACCACTACCTACCACCACCATTGCAGACTAAAACTTGATTAATTATAGCCATTGATTTGCTTTCCACGGCTTCAACTCTCGCCCGGCCTTTTCATTAATTTCCGCGTCGAGTTGCCGGCTTCTTGTTCATCGGCCCGGCCCGTTGATGATAATGATCCGCCATCCGCCAGGGAGGCGAACGAAAAAAAAGAAACCGAAGCCACCCAAAATCCACCCTTTTGTCCATCGTTTTTGGCCTGGGAAAATGAGTGTTTGGGGAAGGGCAGTCAACTCTCCCCCCCTTCCTTTCGCTTTTTGTGGAAATTTATTAATTACGTTTTTGGTCTTATCAAATTACGCTCTGCTAATGCACTCAAATTTATACCTTCCGTGCTTTTTTGAGCTTTCGCCTTAACAGGGCAACGCTCTATTCGTACACTGAACGAAAAGCTATCAAGTTAATATCGTAAAATGTTACTTAATTAGCTTTCTATATTTTCTTTTCAATCGTTGAATCTTTTTCCTGACCAAGTTCGCTTCTTGTTTAAGTTATTTTATGAGATTAAATTTCCTTAAAAATTAATCATTCTAAAAATTTTTGTTCTGCCTGAGTTTTTCTTCAACTTTCTTCTGTCGAAATTCCGAAATTTATTGGCGGCCATTTTGTTTTGTGTTTTTCTTCAGTTACCTGAGCAAATGTGTGTGTGTAAGTGTGTGTGTGTGAGTGGGTCCTAATTTGTCCTCGTTCGAATTGTAACGGAAATTGGTTTCGCTCTTTTCCTCTTACCACCCTACCTACCCTCCTACTTTACCGCCCATTTTCCAACCAGCTCCCCTACACCTCCTCCTCCTTCTTCTCCTCTACAAACCCCTTGGCCATAATGGCCAATTACAACAACAATTGCTTGTTCCTCCGCAGCTTGTTCATTGTTCAAGTTTTGTTGCCATTTCCGTGACTGTTGTTGCTGTCATTATTATTATTATTGTATTTGTGTATGTGCATGTGTGCGTGTGTGTGTGTTTGTGTATTTGTTTTTGTATTTGTATTTGTATTTGCTGTGGTTGTGTTTTGCAATATGTCGAAATTCAACTTCCGGTTTTACGTATTTTTCGTTTTTTGTATTTCATTTTCTCCCATCTAGCCAGCAGTTAACATTTTCTATTTTCTTCTTTTCATTCTCTGTTTTTTTTTTCTTGTTCCCTTCACCGCTTGTTAACACAATAACATGGCCAAAGAAAGGCAAAAGAAGTGCGAGTTGAAGAAAATTTGCCAAAGGAAATGTTCCATTTTCCATGCTGTTATGTGTGTGTGCAATACAAAAGCGAATTGCCTGGCCCACCCACCCACACCCACACTCCATGTGGGTGGAGAAGATGACAAATTTGCTGTATCAGATGACAGTTGTTGGGCTCGACTGTCAGGACACTGGAAAAGCAATATGTTTGCGGGTTGTGCAGCAGAAGTGCAGAACCCTTGAAAGCCCCATTGGAATGGAATATGGTAACAATATGTGCAATCCAAGTGACTCGCAAATGCCTTTCGCCCAAACGCATACTTTCTATGACTCTACTGAGGTCTACTTTTCCAGCCTGCTAACCCAATCCCCTGAAATCTCTATTCCAAATAATTACTAAAACTCACCTTGATCGGCCACATTGATGACTCCATCCTGGGCCACTGCAATAGCGGATATGGCCTGGAATCGGGCATTTGACGATAGCAGCGTCTCGGCATTGCTCAGAGTTCCATCATCGTTCAAGGTGGCCGCACCACCGCCAATGCCAGAAGCTGTGGTCTTGGCACCCAGAAGCACAGTGGTAGTAGTGGTGGGTCCAGTGGACATCAGACCGCCGCTGCCGACGATGCTGGCCAGAGTGCCACCACCGCCGCCGTTTGATCCGGAGCCAGAGTTTGAACCGGATCCGGTGGAGAGGGCAATGCCGCCGGCACAGATGCAGGCACCACCACTGCCATTTGTACCACCGTTGCCGCCGTTTGAGCCACCGCCGCTCGAGCCGCCGCCGCCGCCTGAGGTTGCCGACGAACCGTTGCCATTTCCGCTTCCGTTTCCGCCTGATGGGGTAGTGGGGGTGGTGCCGCCATTCGGACGCGTTGGATTAACAGTCGTTGAGTAGGCGCCACCACTGGCCCCGCCCATACCCGATGAGGCAGCGCTGCCATTGCTACCGCCGCCAATCGCACAGTCACACGTCTGGGATCTAATGGTTGGAAATTAGAGGAAAATTCAAAGAAAAGCGAATTAGTTGGGTATAGAATATTAGTGATTAAGCTAAGGAACTTTGATTTTATATAATGGAAAGTTAATTTAAACTAAACTAAGGCACTATTTAGATTGCTTTCTGCTAATTAATTGGCTCTACTACTGGCTGCACCTATTACTTTAAGCTAAGTAAGCGATTCTAAGGGCTTTCTCTGCCTCTCTCTATCTTTCTGGCCAACTTGTAGTGCCTCACAGATATGGTTTCATTGTTATACGATACGATGAAGGGCTGGGTGGTGGGTGTTCTTTCCTCTTCCTTTCCTTTACTTTTCCTATCTCTGTGGCCGCACCCTTACTCCAGAGGTTTTCCTCCAGGATTTCCCTTGCCGCTTTACTTTTTTGCCGGCTGCTCGGGACGCATATTTATGATGACATTGTTTGTTCGATAAACAGAGTCTAAAGTAAAGTGAGCTTGGGGCGCCGCTTATCGCTGCCACGCCCACGCAACAGACACGGACACGGACACAGACCCAGCCACCTTTCCGCCTTTCGTACCCTTATAGCCCTTCGGTCCTCCTCCTCCTTAACCCCTTTTGGCTACCTCTCGAAAGATATAGCCTTCGCACAAAAGACGCCGGGGGAAAGAAAAAAGGAGCAAGCAAGGGAGAGAGAGAGAGAGGGACGAAAAAAAAAAGAGTGAAAAGTTGATTTATAGTTTCTGTCTGTGGCGCGACGGCCGCTAATTACTTTGCTACGACTGCCGGCCACGCCCACTTCAATCGTCCGCCCTGCCAGCGCCAGCGTACATGTTTTGTCTACCCTTTTGAACCCCTTCTGGCCTTCTGGCACCTGACGCCATTCACATGCCCGGAATTTTAGTTAGCTTAAATCAACTATGAACCCCGAAATTTGATGGGAATAAAGTTGGACAGTGTTGCCTGTCTCTGTCTCTTTTCTATTATGTTTCTGTGTGGTTTTTGTTTTTTATTTTTGTTTTAACCTTTAAATATCATTTTAAATTTAATTTTCTACTCTTATTTCAGTGACCAACACTGGCACATCTCTTTTGTTTCATTTTACAACACTTAATCTTTACGTTTCATAAACCTATTAAGCGATCCTTCAAATTTCCCAACTCCCTTCACCAATTTTAATCTTTTTTTCAAATACTTTTTCTTATCTTCTTAATACCAACTTTGACCAACACTGTCAAAGTTCTTTATAGCAATTTACAACACTTAAACGTTTTTTTTTCGCCTGACAACAAGGGCAGAAAATTATTCCGTTTGCGTCAGGAATTTAAGTTCATTGACTGCTGTTTCCGTTTCCGTTTTGCTGCCCCGCTTTAATCAATGCACAAAATGCAAATGGCTTTAGTGCCTCTGGAACACAAATACATATGTATAAATACATACATATATATATGTGTGTGCGTGTATTGGGGCAATGAAAAATCAGACAATGAAATTCCCCAATGTGAGAATTCCAATTAATTTCTGGTCACCGTTTTCGATGCCTTCAAAATGGGTTAATAAAGTCAAATAAAGTTAACATGGCACTGGATGGCCAAAAACGACCAAGGCTATATCCATGTATGTCTATCTACACACATACATATACATATACATGCATGTATAGAAGAGAAAGAAGAAGAGAGAGAGAGAGAGAGAGATATACTCTAGGGGGTATTGCCTAGTTGGCCTGACATTTATGGCCGTTTTGGTGCATTGGCAATTTTGTGCTGCTCTTGCTGAATTTTTATTATTTATGCCCCACTCTACGGGTCGAGTAGTATCCTTTCTCCTTCCCGTTCTCTCTCTCTCTATATATATCTCTATCTCACTTTCTCACTAGCCTGGCAATGTTGTGTGCGGTGCGTTTTGTCCCGTGTGTCGTTTGGTAGACATTTTGAAAAATTGGCTGATATCGTTCGGCAATATGCAAATAGCCCGGAGCTCACTTAATTGGGTCAAGTATGCGCATAAACAAGTCCGAGTGGAGTCAATCTAACCAACCACCCCCCTACCCACCATCCGCCCCCCACCTCTACCCATTTCATTTTACCAACAACAATTTTCGTCCCTGGTACCCATTTTCATTCCATTCAGTTTTTGGCCAGCGGCCTGCTGACCAAATTCCCTGTTATGTTGACCCAGTAGCCAGTCAATATTTGAGGGCATAAAACAACTAAGAATGCAATAGTCGGCTATTCCAACAACATATAGGCACATTCTATACGCAGTATATGCCCTACTGCTAACTACTGGGAATTATTTATTTTCTCTGCACTTTGATAACTCGGTGAAGACCAAATATGGCCTAGCAGTGACAGCGAAAAGGGTGAACCCCCCTTTGATTTATACTAGATTCACGAAACTAAGCCTCCTCTCAAAGTGTATGAAATATTGGTTATTAAGCTTTCGAAAACAAAGCATTCATATTTCAGAATCAGGACAAAAACTAATGGAAAGTAGTTGATGATTTACATTATTGACATGACAATTGCAATCTATATCCGAGAATTATGGCAATAAACATACTATTAGTATGGGAGACTGCAACTCCTAGATTAACATTGATTTAAGGGCATCCTAAAATGTATAACCCAAACTCTATATTCAGCTAACCTAAGAGCAACTTCATGTTTATGACCACCAAAGCAGTCTGTAAACCAAATTGGAAGTTCAGAACTCAAACAGATCCTGAGATCTAAGAGCTTGTTCTCAGTAACGGACAAACGGACAAACGGACAAACGGACAAGGTAACATTTATCATATCTTAACATTCTACAATAAGTACTCACCCTGTGCCCTCTTGTTTTCCAGCAAAGTATCGCATATTTCCAGCCGTGTCCACCACGCGAATAGAGTTAACCCTCCTCGAATCACTGTCCGCAATATAGAGATTGCCGAAGGGCGAGAAAGCCATGGCCAAAACGGTGCCCAAAACATTATCTGCTCCCGTCTTATTCACCCTGCCATCCTGTCCACCATTGCTGCAGTGCAGCGGTGTTCCGGCCACGACACGAATCTTCATATCGGATGTTAGACGCAGTACCAAACGGTCGTCGATAAAGTGCAGGGAACCATCCAGAGGGCTCAGAGCCAAGCCAGTGGGCCATTGGAGTTGAGCCTGATTGGCCATCAAGGTGCCGCTGCACGGGGCTGGACTCCAGTGATTATGATGACCATGGTGACCAATCAGCGTGTGTATAACACCCTTGGGATCCACGGCTCGGATATTGGTGCCATCGGCAATGTACATGGTACGATCGGCGGCAATGGCCAGGCCCTTGGGATGGGATAGTCGAGCCAATAGGGCTGGTCCACCATCACCGCAGTTACCCTCATCGCCGGGTATACAACGCTGGCCGCTACCGACCACCGGGTCACTGTTAATGCTCGGATCCTTGACCTTCTCCAGTCGCAAAAGTCTCAGGATTTGATGCCTCTCCGGATCCGAGATGTACAGATGTCCATCGGCTGGCGAGACAGCCAAGTAATATTGATACGACACCTGGGTGGCACTCAGCTGAAGAATGGTGAACACCTTGCCATCGGGTGTAATGCGACGCACCAAATTGAAATCGCCCACATAGAGACTGCCATCTGGCCCGGTGGCCAGGGCAATGGGTGTCAATAGCTTGGCATCCTTGGCAACGCCATTGCAGTAATCGGGACACGTGAGCGGTCGCTGTAGACCAGTGCCCATTACCACCTTAACGGTCCTCGGGTATTCCTTCATGTGCAGCGTACTGCCATCACCCTTTTGCAGTATGCCCTCATGGAAATTGTAGTGATGATGAATGTCCAGTCCCCAGCCACCGATATCCGATATATCCACATCGTAGCCCTGCAATTTGGCAGTCTGGGCAATCCATACGGGCGACTGACAGGTGCTGTGCTGGTAGCCAACCGAAATCCTTGCCACAGTCACACCATAAACCTTCTGGCGATACACGTTCCGTTTATTCCAGGCGAATGTGTGCACCAAACTGGGATCCGCTTCGTAGGTCTTCACATGGAGGGCTCCCTCAATTTCCACACCCACATGCACATGGGTCAGGGTGGGCGGTATCGTTTCGGCGGTTAAGCGCATGCGTACGATGCTCAGATATCCACTTGCCTGCGAGGATTGGTAGGTCAGATGGAGGTCTGAACCAGGAATCTGGATGGATTCTTGAACGATCTGTGGGGGAATAATAGAAGAAAAAGTGGGTTAGCACTTTGGAAAAAGGTACTTTTGTGGAGGAGTGGATTGTATTTTATCAACAGGTTTAGTTTGGGGTTACTTACTTACTATCTAAGATAACTAACTTTCATCTTGAGAATAGATTACTTTATAGCCTTCCAACAAAGCTTCTCTTCTCAAGGGACATTCAAACTAATTGCTATTCGTTGATTAACTAAATTTCATCCTCAACTATTGCTGTAAATGTTTCCTTTTATTGTTTTTAAAACCCTAACGCAACTTTACCATTGGCCCTAGGTGACTGTTAACCTGGGAAAACTTTAACTGGCTCTGTGGCGGCCAGAATAGGAGGGGAAAAGGTAGTAATAGGGAAATGAAAAAAGACAGAGGAGGTGGCAAACCAAGTGTCTGGCGGTGACCGCAGCTGGACAGGTTCGAGTGCTGCAATTAAACGCATTGCGAATCCGCCGTCGAGGACCAGACCTTCAAGGAGGAGGCAGGTTTCCTTCTCGCTCTCTCTCTCTCTCCTGGCAGAATTAATGTCTACCTCGGTGGTCCTTTCACCCGCCCTACACCAGCACCACCACCACCACCTCCTCCTCTTTTCAGCGGGCAGATGCAAAGTTATAATGTCATTAAGGCAAACTTTAAATTAATTAAAACTGCGCTGCGTCCAGCAGCTGCTGCCAGGACTGCTAATTAGGAATGGCATTAGGTACGCGGGTCGGTGGGTAAATGCTTTGCTATAGTAAATGGTAAATGAAAGGAAGGGTGACTGCTACACCTCTTCTTTCTCCTTCTACACCCACCTGAGTCTCGGCAAAGATGACCCTTTTGCCGGGCATGGCGCCCACACCGTTTGGCATCCACGTGCTGATCAGCTGGGGACGCAGCTTCTCGTGATCGTGATCCATGCACACCTTGCTGGCATCATTGGCCTCGTCGGCCGTATGGTAGTGTATCGAGTTGAGGAAAGTCAGGGCAGGATTAAGTGGAGCAACCCTACAGAAAAGGAAAAATAAGATAAGATAATATTAGTATTAGTATTAGGTTAAGCTATCTGAAGTAAGCTTTGTAAGATGTAAGATGACTTAATAGACTCTGAGTAAGATTTAGAAACTTACTTGATATTCCTGCTGGTGGTCTCGTCGTCGTCGCTCAGCTGCATTTGCACTGGCGGCAGCACCACGATCCTGTTCCAGGGCACAAAGACGGTCCGGGTCAGTGGTCGGAAGGGGGAGCGTTGGAACTGCAAGGTCACAGCCCCGCCGCCATTCACCAGTACATCGAACCTGAGAAGGAGAAAAAAAAAACAAGACACGGGCCATGAGAAATATGAAATGGAATACGAAATTAGTGCAAAAGTTGGCTGGCAAACATGCAAATTAATATTTTAATGAACTTGAAGAGGGAATTGCGCGAGTATCCGCCCTACTCCTTCCTTCCAACTGTTTTTCCTTTTGCTTTTCCTTCTTTTTTTTTTCTCTCGCTGTCCATCCCCGCAATCTAATGCCAAGGTGGAGGTGGAGGCACAGATAATACCTCAATTGTTTGTGGGAAATTGAAAAACTTTAGATGCCGACTGGCTGGCTGGATGGATGGATGGCGGTGCAGAGAGGGTAGTATAGAGCACAAGTTAAGATTCCATACCCCTCCTCCTTCCTCACATAGCCCCCCCCCTTGTCATGCGTTAGCCGCATTAAATATAATGATGGCGATTGCGAGCCGCCGCCATTATTACAAGAGAAAATTCGCATTGCAGCTACGGAAAAGTTGCACAAACTTCTGCCAAGAAGACGAAGATGTTGGAAAACAAAGGGCCAAAATAACAACAACAGCAGTGGTGGGTAGAGGGGGTGAAAATGGAAAAGAAAATGCAGGAGAGCACGAGTCGAGGGGGAACTGGAGGTACAAAGCCAAGTCGCGTTGCAAACTCAAGAAATGGCGAAAACTTTTACTTTTGAAATATTTAATTAATGCGATTTTTAATTGTGTTTTGTTCCTGCGATCCTGCGATAAAGACAGGGAGAGAGAGAGAGAGATAGAGGACACAACGAATGGCGAGATGGCCTGCCTGCCTGCATGTGGAAAAATGTTGGCTTTCCCTTAATGTACTACTCTAAACTCCATGCTCCCTATTTTTGCCTCGAATCAAATGACAAAACATTCAATTGAATTGCCTCGTAAACAAAGCCACCAAAGCTGCCTCAATAAACATGGCCATAAACAAGGACATGCATTTCATTAAAAATAAAGTGGTAAAAACAAAAAACAAAAAAAAATAATCAGTGGAAAATAAAATCGCTAAATATATGTGTAAGGGAATTTTGTAAAATTTGTTACAATTTTTGTGCTAATTTAATTTTACTGTTTTTTGTCTCCCTGCAGCTGTTTGCTTGCCATTGTTGTTTTTGTTTTGCTTTTATGGCATGCATAAAGAGTAGTTGCACATAGTCATAAATGCACAGCCATGGGCAAAATAATAGTAGCATTTTTACACAACTTTCTGATGGATTTCTCTTCTTCTACCAAATTATTAACATTTTAAGTCATTTTTGGTGTAAATCGAAAATAAATATATTTTTTAGTACGTTTACACCCTATTACTTTGCCCTCAGCTGTATAAATACTATGGTCTGCCGTGGATTGCATTCATTCATTTGTAATTGAATTGGATTTTATGAGCATGACCAGACCCCGAAAAGGCAGAGAAATGCGAGGAGTGGCCAGTGAGCCAGCTCAGTCAGCGGGTGTATAGCATTTAGCGGAGGCAACAACCCAAACACAAACACAGAAGACATACACACACACACACAAGACACACACACACATACGTTACAGTGGACGAGTCTGGCAGTGCGAGGGAGAGATAGAGAGAGAGGGCATCATGAATCCTGAACTCTAATAATACTTATGCAATAAAAAATGCCAACAATAATCCCCTGCAGCACAATATAATGACTTTTATTACCTTTATTACTATGACAACAACAAGAAAAACAACAACAATAGCATACAATGCATGTCAGCCAGCAGCAACAACAACAGCGAAATAAAATAAAAAATAAATACAAAAAAAAAAAAGAAGATGGGGAAAAGGAAAAAATTAAGCAGGACAACAAATGGCGAGGCAGCCAAAAGAGCAACAAGAAGAAAAGTCGGTCTGCGAATGTGTGTGTGTAAGTAGGAGGGGGGGAGGGGGGGAAGGGTGTTAGGGGCAAAGGCGGGTGGCTAATAAAAGCATAGAATTGAAATAAACATTATAAATACAAAACCATAAAAACCTGCAACACAGCCAGGAACCAGAACCAGAAGGCTACAACAGCAATCTGAGGCCAAAAGTAAGAGGATACACACACGGACATATGTGTTGGGAAAATCAGGGGGGGGAGGGGTGGTATCATGCTGGTTGGAAAATGAGAAAGAAGTGCGGTATAATAACCCGCGCTAGCAACACACTGTTGCTTATTGGGCCGCATAACATGGCACAGCACAGCAGCAACATTAGCAACAGCAGCAACAGCAACAACTTCACCTGCTAAAGGCAGGAATTCAAGAAAATAACTCCTACAGCAAACAAGTTCAATGATGAAAGAGAATTTTCATGATGAATTCATGGAAAACCAATACCCTTCAAGCGCATCAATAACGCTTGGCGTAAGCCAGTTAATAGCGAGTTCAAAAGCGTCACTAAATTGCTGGCCAGCAGTGTAGATGTAAGAAGCCGAAAATAATGCGAACATAAACAGGAATTATTGCACACACACACACCGAAGCAGGACTAAGAAGAAGGCCAACAACAGGGACATAAAAAATAACAAGGACAACTTTAAAATCCCTCGAAAAGGAAAAACAAGAAAGGTAAAGAAAAGAAATGCAGAAAGGGGAGCAAAAAAAAATAAATAACAGCAGAAATTGTCATAATAAAAATACATAAATAAAGAGTGAGGAATTTATATGCCAGGACACGACCCAGGCAAGTTGTTGCATATTGCGACATATTCGGCACACGGCACACGGGACACGGGTGAAGGCAAGAGCAACATGCAACATCATATCGCTTACTTGGCCATTGGCCTAATGAGAAATTATGGCCAAAAGTCGGGTGAAAATGTAGTTGCTTTTCTGTTTTTCTGTTTTTCTTTTTTCCCCCCGCTCTTTGTTTTTATTCCGGCTCAGCATTGGCCCAAAAAGATATGCTATACACCTGGTTATTTGTCTAGGCTAATGTGCAAGTGTGTGCGAGATTGAAATAAACAAAGCTAGAGTGAGTGTGTATGTGTGTGTGTGTGTGTGTGGAAAGTAAACACAAATAATCATCAGACAGTCGTCGGAGTTTTGTCTGTCTGCTGCACAGATTTTGTTTGTATTCCTTCGCTTGGCCATAATAAAATCAGACAGAGTCGGGTGCGAAATGTTTATTTAAATTGGCCAACACACACACACACACACACACACACACACGCATGAAGGGAAAAGAAAATGGCAAAACAACAAGGACGGCAAACAATGTTGCTGATGGCAGCAAACGGAAATCCTTTTTACAGAAGGAAAAACAACTGGAAAAATATTTATATTAGATATATTGGATTGCCAAGCGGGCGGGCCGGGCATCTCTCTTTTCCGCTTTTCCGAAATTTTCTGTCATCCTTCAACTAGTTGTTCTTCTTCTTTTGCTTTTGCTACAACTACTACTACTTTACAGTTGAGAAAATATTCTGTCCTTGCATCTTTGATGGGCTCAATTAGAGCAAAAGTTCTCCGAGCATTTTGTGCTTAAAAAGCAATCCGAATGAAAATGTCAAATAATTGAAACTAATGTCCTGTCCTCTGTCCTCGTATTTACCATCCTTCGAAACCACCAAGCGAACCAAGCCACCACCATAAAGACACTGAACCACTGAGCCACTCCTGCGGCTTTCTGGCCAATTGTGGCCTGTCTGCTCTAATTATGCTAACCACTTGTGTAAACTTGAGGACTCGAGGACAGTGGCTTGCTTTCTCCATCTCCATCTCCATCTCCTTCTACTTCTACTTCTCCTTCTCCCAAAAACGAAAGTTGGCCGCACATCAAAGCAAAAGATTTAATTAAAAATTTGATAACTTGCCCTCGCTGGCGGATCTTCACCTTCTTCTACTTTTTTCTTTTTTTTTTTGGCCTTTATTTTTGACTGCGCAACTGTGCTTCTGGCCATCGGCGGATTCCATCAGCAGAATTTAATCAACGAAAAAAGCTACCCCCTCATCTCTCTCTTTCGTTGGAGAAAGTCATCCATACGTAAGTAATTTGCATTTACCAAAATGTATATGACTTGCACCCACACGAGTACAGTGGAGCATCAAAGAAGGGGACTAATTCAGAGCATTCATTTAGTATTTGTTGGCCAAAGACTTACATATTTTTTTGTTTTTACCAATTTATAATAAGTTATAAAAAGTATAAATACTCACCATCCTCCTTGACGAGTTAGGGTGAACCCAAATCGGGAGTCGCGATCCACAGAGACACGGATGCCGACGATGCCCAGTCCTTGGGGAGTGATCACCTGTCCACGCATCACCGAAACGCGACTATATTGAGTTTTCCAATCCACACATCGAGTTAGGGTTTAGGGTTTAGGTTTTAAAGTTCAGTTGCAAAAGATAAAAAGACATCTGTTAGTTACTTGGCAATATTTGCGTTTGAGTTTCTTTTTGATTTTCTTTAATTTTATTCTTTTTTTTTTTGTTTTGTTTTTTTTTTGACTTTCTTTTCTTTTCGTTTTCTTGGTTGGTTTTTCTAATTAAGTTTTTGTGGTGGAAATCATAGATATTGAAAAGGTGAAGAAAAACATTTAGCAAATTGTCTGTATTGATGGAAATGGGAAAAACTGAAAAGCGACTCGATTGTTTTCTTAGCACTTGGCATTGGCTCTAAGGACAACAAACCGAAAAAACAAGTTATGCAATAATTTGAGAAAATATTTATATAAATTGATTTATATATATATAATATAATATATAGCTATGTTTCGTATGCATATGTATGGGTATATTTTTGTATTTAACTATTAAGGAGTGTTTATGTATAAATTGAGACAGACAGAGAGATAGAGATATATATATATATAGAGCGAGCGAGCGAGCGAGTGAGACGTAGAATGAAATGGGATGAGTTTCTGAGAGTTTTGTCGCCAGTAATGCGTTCTCTACTTTGTATCTGTATCTTTGTATCTTTGTATCTTGGTATCTTTGTATATATATATATAAATTTTTTCTATCTGCAACTGCAGTTTGAGTGTGCTTGTGTATGTGTTTCTGGGGAATTCTTTGCGGGACAATCTCAAAGTGTTTGCCTGGCTTTGGGTAATTCAATTATTGGAACTGGAAACTGGAAACTGGAAACTGGTTGTGGATGTGTATCTTCGAGTGTGTGGAATGAATCGAATGAATGTCCAACAATGAGCTACGGAAAAAAGAGCAAATTGGGGCGGGGGGTGGGGGGAAGAGCAGGAGAAGCAAAAAGTGGGCATGCAGAGGATGCGGGGATTTCCATCGCAACTTGCCCATCTTTCGCATTTTCCCACTCTTACCGGGGGTGCAGAAGTGCAAATGGCATTTGGCACGCAGCTTGGGGATATATCTGAGATGGAAATGGCTGGGATGGCTAGGGATGGATGGTATATATATTCAAGTCCCGACTTTGGAATGCCAATATATATCGAATCCTTCAACATTTCTCAGCGAGTTTATCAGAATTTCAAGTTGCTTTCGTTATTAAATGGAAGGAGAAAGCTGCGACCAAAGGGAGGGGGTGGGGGAGTTGTTTGAAAGTGCAACGATTGATGGTCTATCGATCGAGTGGGTGAATGTTATCGAAGGCACTCGGCATTAGTTTCCTTGTGGAGAGTTCAGCATGAAAAGGAATTAGAATTATATCAAAATTGTTGTGTCAACACACAGGTTCATATCGTAATTATCGATAATTATCGATAATTTCTTAATAAAAATTGATACTTTTAATGAGATAGAAACGTACTCCTTAAATTGGTAGGCAATTTATAAAATGTTATTATTTAAAAATGATTATCAAGTTCAAGTTTCGGTTAATGCCGAACCAGAAATTAAAGCATTTCGATTGTTACATCATTTGCCTATCGATAACCTTCGCCCCCAGCGATATTTTAGCACCAGCAAACGCTCGATAAACGTATTCAAAATGCATGCAATAATTAACAATTATTATTATTATTATAAGAGAAAAAACTATTTGAAAATTCATTTCGATATATAAATTTATCGCAAATTGCTGCGATTCTCGACGAAATTCGATAGATGCGGCTATAACGGCTAACAAGGCCAAAACGATCAAATGAAAGGCCAAAAAAAAATCAATGAAAGTGAAAATGAAAATGAAAATGAAACCAACTGAAAGGCACAAAAAGCTGGTGGAAATTATAACGGTAATAATAATACTACAAACATTTGACCCGATAACATAAATCGATTGTCGTTCGGTTGTGGAAAGGCGATACTTTCCACGGGTCGAAATACTATAATGCAAACCGAGCCAGTCAGTGTTTGCCCTTGCAGTGTCCTCTGTTTATTTTTTTTGATTTTTTGATTTTTTTTCTGACAACCCCTAACCCTCCACATACAGACCCACATCTATGTGAATGTATTGAGAGATGAGGGACACAGCTGCGCGACCCAAAATCATTTTCATTTCCATTTACATTTCCAATTTAATGAGCAGAAACTATGGCAACCCGCTTTCTTTGTCACTTTCTTCGAGGAACAGGGAGTGCTGCGAGTGCACCGATATCCGATTTCAAGTTTGCCAATTTATTATGACAAAAGAGCGCACAAAATATGCTTTATATTTCCAATAAATGGAAAACAGCAGGGGTCCCTGTCTCCATTTCGTTTATTATATATAAATATATATATATTTGTGTATTCTTCTGAGCTCTGGTTCTTCAGAACGCCAGACGCCCCTTGAAACAAAATGCCGCAGTGAGGCTTAAAAGGCAGGGGCGGCGGCGTTCGCCAAAAAGGGAGTTTTGTTCGTTTTTGGGAAAGTTACCAAGGATATCGGAAACGAGCGCAATTGTTTGCACTAATTACTGCAGAGTTGGGTTTTTTTTTACCAGAAATGGGTTTTCCCAAGGGGGGGAGTTCTTTCCCCCCCCAACAGTCATCAGGTGCAGCCTCTCGGTGCCCTCACTCCGCACTCCATTTCCAGAGTCCGAGGACTGCAGTTTGGCCTCTTTTAACTTTTGTGCCAGCGCAAGTTCTCGAAAACATTTTCAAGTTTTCAAGTGTTGCAATTTCTCAGGCCCTCGCCCCGCCGCCAACCCCATTTTTTTTTTTTTTACTGTTGTTCCGCCCACTCATCTTTTTCCACAAAAACCACCCCCTCTCCTTGCCAAGTTCCTCTTTCACTCCGCTTCACTTCCTAACAGACATAAACACATAATGTACAGTATTTGGGTCAGAGTTTTATGTTCCCAGCTGCATTTTTATTAGGACAAAGAGGAGGAGTTGGGGGGAGGCAAAGGTCGCCGGGGAGTGGCTATGGCTATATGGCTATAGCTAAGGCCCATTGGAATTCTTGGAGAGCAGCGCACTTCTTCACTGACTTCTAATTGCAATTGACCAGAGTCCGAGGTTCCGTGTTCAAAAGTCATGCCCAACTAGTTTTCTTTCTTTTCGAGTATAAAAGTGTGTGTGTGTGCCACGCCTACTCCCTCCCTAACTCCTCTTTTACCCATCGGTATTTTACCCACAATTTCATTTTTCCTGCCTCAATTCGATGATGCAATGAAGCAACATTTTATTTGAAATCAAACCGAAAAGCAAATTGCATGAGCACAAAAGTATGCTTCCTCTTTTCTTTTGCCATGCCAAAGGTGTACGTGTGTGTGTGTGTGTGTGTGTTAGTTGAGTGGGTAAATATATATATAATATATATATATAATATATAAAATATATATATCTATGTGTCCTGTTTGTATATTGCGAGTCATTGAAGTGGCGAGTGAGTGCCATTGATTTTTATTTCGCATTTGATTCGTTTCGTTTCATTTATTATTTATTTGATTTATTTGCACTGCGCTGCTGTAGCCAAGAAGGAACCTTTTTGGCCTGCCTGCCTGCCTGCCTTCATCGTCGTCATCGGCTGGCCAGGTAAATCACTCATACGCCACCGACACTTGAATGTCTTCAGCACATTTCGTTTTGTTTGCCAGCGTCTCGACTTGGCTCGACCCCACCCCCTCCCCTCCTCCTCTCTCGCCTTCCTTTCAATTCAATTCGGTTTGATTTGGTTATGAGAGCAGTTTTCACTTTGATTTTGTTGCCATCGAAATGGAAATGCTGCACTTAGTGGACGCTTTTCGTCCGAAGGAGCAGTGTGTGTGTTGTGGGCGAGAAACGCCTGAGCAATCGCCTCAAGGACTCACATTACGTATACGCAGCAACACTTTCCACTACAAATTGTTAGTGCAAGAGAAGCGGTTCAGTGAGCTTTCCAGAGCAGAGCTTGGCCCTTCTTTGTGTTTTGTTTTTTAATCTTGGTTTGTGTTTTTTTAATTTGGAAATTAAGAAGAGGTTAAGACTTTAACGCAGATTAAGGATAATTCTTAGTACAGAGTTCCCACCAACTCTTAAAGTCCCATAAATTCTGAAAGCTCTATCGAGCTGTGAGTCAGCGAATCTGTTGACATGTCTCTGAACTCGCTCTCTTTTCAATCTTTTTCAATCAGTCCGGGCATAATCATCATTATCAGTAAAAGCCACTTAAAATTATGAGGCAATAAAGGCATTTAGCCAGCGAAAAGAAATGGCTAAGCCAGACTGAAAGAGATCGGGATACATATATATCTATAAATATATATATCTTTATCAAGCAAGAAAGGGGAACGGGAGATATAGGAAAAGCAATCTCGCTCGATGAAGTGAAAGCAATGCCACAAAAATGTTCTAATCTCAAAAGATGCTCGCCCTTTGCACCGCCGTTTTGTACCCTCCATCCTTTCCCTCCCTGCTCTCCTTTGCCTTTTCCCCAATTTTACCCACTTTTCCGCCCACCGCCCACCGACTAATCGCCCTTGCAGCGAATGAGCAATAGAGGTAACAAAAAGAGGCGGCGGCAGAATGGGCTATCCTAGAAAAGCTAGAAAAAAGAAGCACAGAGAACGAGAACGAGAACGAGAAGGAGAACCTGGAGCCGGCATTGTCGCCACTGCACCTTTTGTGTCAAAAGTGCACTTCCATTATTAGCGCATTGTGTGGGCGCGAGGGGGTGGAAAATGGTGAAAGACCCGGGGGAAGCCGGGCTGGAAAATATGAGAAGCCCGCGCATAAAGGAAGTGCATTTAATTTCTTTTCTTTTTGTGGGTTCCTTTTTTTTGGGGAGGAGGAGGTTGGGAAAAACTCTGTCAGACAGCTAGAGTTTCAGAGTGGGTTGGATTTTTGTGGCCATTCATAAAGCGGCTGGGCGGGCTGCCATTCATTTGCACCACCGCCACCCACAACCACTACCACCATTTCATCTCATCTAGAGCCACCTTTTGCTAACTTGGCTTACC